TTTAAAGAGTTTTTATATTTTATATTTTTTATATTTAAAGCGAGTTTTTGGGCAGTGTAGAGTAGGGCTTGTTGTTTGTCATTTCTCCGATCACAAATGCAGACATGGTTTTATGTTTACATGGCACGATGCAACGTAACGCATAAAAAGACAGTATAAGTCATTATAATCCATAATTATGTCCCCACTGGATGCAACGAATGCCTCGTTTATAATGAGTTTTCATGTTTTTGAATCATCGCTCCGGCCTGACAGGGCATCATCACAATATGGTAAGGGGCGTAACATTTCCGTCACATGCTTGAGGTATTCGGCCAATCATAACGCACTGGATAGCTGGCCAATCAGAGCACACCTTGCTTTTCAGACCGATGAGCTTTGTAAAAATCTACGCATTTCAGAAAGGCAGGGCATAGAGGAGAAACAATAATGTACAGTATGTGGAAAATGTGTTTCTTTAAACCTTAAACCGCATTAACACATTTCATTACACCAAATACACAAAATAATCACATAACCCCTTTAATTATTAAACTAGTTAACTACAAATTAAATAAGTTAGTTATTAATAGTATAACAATTAAATAATGATGCATTCAATATTTTGAAATATTTTCATCTGAAGCAAATGATTAGGGGTTAAGGCTTCTGGATCTTTAGCATCCTCTGAAACTGCAGTAATTGGAAGATCGCTGAGTATGGCTTCCACTTCATATAAAGCAGTCTGTAGGCCTTCATCATCAAGGGTCTGCTGTCTCAGAACAGAATATAGGATCTTTTTGAGAATTCAAATGATTAGTTCCCATACACCTCTATGGTGAGAACCCTAAAGAAGGATTGAAGGTCCACTTGACATTCTCTCTCAGCAGTACCTTCTGTATTTTGTTTTGGTTGATGTCAGCAAGTGCCTCACTCAATTCTTGCTCAGCCCCAATGAAGTTGGTTCCATTATCCAAAATTATCTCCTTGAATTGACCCCTTCTACACATAAATCTTCTGAGAGCACAAATACAGGAATCTGTGTTTAGCGAATAGGCCACTTCGAGATGAACAGCTCTACTAATGAAGCAGGTAAATATCACTCCATATCTCATGAGCTCTCTCCCTCTTTGCCTCAATGGGAACAAAGTAATACATTACAATGTGACTGAAAGGTGGTAAATCAGGAGGGATTCGATTTAGGGGTAAGTCTGCCATTTTTTGTTCAATTGCAGATCCATGTCAACGTCTACAGAATAGGCCATCTCTGATGACTTTTCTGCCAGTAGCATTACCTCTGGTACCCAGTATCTTTTATGGAGTTTAGTAAGCAGTTGGTGTTTTAGTGAAACACCAACATTTAGTGAATACGGTCCATTAATGTTTGAACTCTTCCGGCATTGCCATCCTGCTCAACCTTCCGCCGACTCTTAAGATGCCATTGTCTAGGATCGATCTAACATGTACTGTATATCCTACTACTGGTTTTCACAGCATGACCTTTGTTCAACAAAGCCATTTCATCTTGAAAACTCTGTTGTTGAACATAATGAATAAGAGATTCTTCAGCGAGTACAAGATCTTCTACTGAGAGAGTTTGGGCACCAACCTTGGATTTGACTTTGGTCATGTGGTTATCAAGTAATTCTTGAGCTTTGGTATGTTGTGAAAAGACAGCTGCTGCTTCTTTCCTCTTCGGACTCAAACACAGGAGCATATTCCTACATTTCAACAGCCATGCAGTTGTTTTCGCAATTTTTCCCATAATGAAAAATGTTTTACTAACTTGTTGAATGGAGTTGAATTAGCTGTAGTGATAGTAAAAACAACAGTTGTTCTCTTTATCTCTGGATCACTGCCTGAAATGCAAAGTGATTCTTTAGGCAATTCAGGCCAGTCTGCAGCAGGACCCTTCAAATATTCTGGACCTCTCAGCCATCTTCCATCATTCTTAAAAGAGCTAGACCTTACACTTCGGGAAGCGTCATCAACTGGATTGGCTGGAAAGTTCACTTAACGCCACTGAAACGTCTGTGACAGATTTCTGATAGTCAAACTGTTGGCTACATATGCTTGGAATCTGCTAGTATCATTCAAGATGATTTTGGGGACTGATGTACTGTCCATCTAAAATACTGAATCATCCAGAGTTAGCTCTAGTTCTTCCTTCAACATTCTATCAACTTATGCAGCAAGAACTTCGGCTGCCAATTCAAGTCCATGGATAGTCATCACTTTCAGTGGGGCTACTTTTGCCTTACCCATTACAAAAACAACATGGACAGAACCGCTAATATCTGCAAGACACAAAGATTAGCTGTACCCATAGCCGATTTCGCTAGTGTCACAGAAGTGGTGTAATTAAGCACTACATTTTATTTTCAAAGTTGTTGGGTATGAAGCATCTACTGCAACTCAAATTCAAAAGTAGCTTGAGCTCCTCTAGCCACTTGTCCCATTTTTGTGCAAAGGCTGCAGGAATTTCTTCAGCCCATCCATAGTTCATCCTGCGCAATTCTTGTCCAATTATTTTAGCTGGCAGCATTACTGGAGTAAGGAATCCAAGTGGGTCGTAAACTGAATTGATAACTGATAAAATACCTCTTCCGGTAAATTGTCGTTGTTTGAAAGCTATTTTGAAGACATCAGACTCTATCCCACTAAAGTCCCAGTGCGCTGTCAACAGGAAGTTCATCTCTGCACATGTCAAGATGTCTCATTTCTTTAGATCTCTCCTCCTCAAGGATTGAGGCTAGTAGTACAGTGCGGCTATTACTATCCCATTTGGTGAGCTTAAATCCAGCAGTAGCACATACTGCAATGAGCTCCTGCACATACATGACGGCTTGTCTTTTATCTGAGACAGACTTGAGGCAATCATCCACATAAAAATTGTTACGAATTGTGGATAAAACTTCAAAGTCAACTTTGACTTTGTTATCATCTGCTGTCATCCTTAACGCAAAGCTGACACCACTGGGGGAAGAAACAGCTCCAAAGAGATGTACAGTCATCCTGAACTCTTCCAGCGGTTGGACTGATATCATCATTAGGCAACCACAGGAATCTAAAAAAATGTCTTTATATTGTTTTATCGACGGATTGTACAGGTTCGAGTAGCAACGGACTTCTTCACACAGCCTGCGCATGCGCAGTAGCCTACTGAACACAAAAATGGGAGGCATGCGGATGTCCGCTCAGAACCTCCGCGCACACTCTCCGATGACGATTTTTACGTCATGCGCACCATAGCAGACACTAGCAGACGCGGAAAGTATAACACAGGCTTAAGAGGGTATTCGTGAGATCTGGACACTGCAACAATTCTGAATTCAGTGAAGTACCTTGAAATGAGGCGGCACAATCAAATACCACCCAGATTTTCTTTTTCCTTTTATGGTAGACTCCATGATGGGGGATGTACAATACTCTACAATCATCTCGGTCATGCTCTTCTTCTGGTACTTGAAGAATGCGTCATCCTTCCTAAATACCTCTTAAGTATACTTGAGGCTTGTTGTTCTGCAATCTTTTTGTTGTCAGGCAGGTTGAGGTCAGGTTGGCGAAATGGAAGGCATATTTGATAATGATCATCTCGTTTAACGACAGAGTTGTTCACAATTTCCAAGAATCTCTGATCCTCAAAAGAAGCTTTGGGTTTCTCATTGTATGCTTGCTCTGGGAAGTCATAATTATACTGTTCTTTGAAGAATTCATCCAGTTTAGCCACTGAGATTCTGTTAGAAGACACAAATGTTCGTCACTGAACATCTGTGGATGAGTTACCCCTTAATGGACCATTAACTGGCCATCCTAAACATATTTGGACTGCATAAGGACCATCCTTCTGGCTGTTAAAAATCCTCAAGGGTTCCATCGCTTTTGGGACATTAATCCCAATTAACAGATCAACATCTGCTTTTATGGAACATAGTCGGACATCTTTCAGATACAGCCATTTCTTTATGTCCTCTTCCCTTGGTATATTCTCCTGGCTTACTGGAATTGAACTTTGTGTGAAAGTTTCAGGCAATTCTATAAAGTAGTCTCTGTCCAGCCCACTTACTTCTAAGCCACTCAACCAAAATGTTTTAATCAGCTTTTCATGTCCCATTGCCTTGAGCAGGATCTCAATTTGTTTGCCAGCCATGTTCAACCGTCTCGTCAATCTCTCTGTACAGAATATGCCTGAACTTCCAGGGTCTAAGAAAGCACTTGAAATACTCTACTACCTTTGGTGGCTTTTACTTGTACTGGAATAATCGCAAGCTTGCATTTAGCTGTACCGGCCCCTGTATGCTCAGTAGCCACAACAGCCATAGATACGGTCTGCTGGAATTAGCCTCTGTAGCATCATAATCTTTCTTGTGCACATCAGTCTGTGAATTAGGTGAGCTTTTATTTGATAAAGCATTTTTGATATGCAGCACTGTTGGCTGTTTCTTGGAACATATTTGGCAAGTAAGACGCCTTTTGCAGGCTTTGCTAGATGTCCTTGTTCTCAAGAAATCAATTTTATCCTTGTGTAATATGTCTGCCATTTTGACACAAGAATCCATTGCGTGATCATAAGCACAAAACAGACAGGGCTTATTAAAAGCAACATTAGCATCATCTTGATGATTTTTCTTTGCTTGACTATTCCGTTTTGATGCTTTGACAGAAGAAACTGTGGTAACAAAACTTTTCCTGCAAGAAGATTTGTGCATAGTAGGTTCAGTCATTGTCTTTCTGATGTTAGAATTTGTTTTCTGATCTTGAATCTCTCCAAAGACTGGATCAAGAAGAATCTTAGCTTGTTTCGCAATGAAAGCTACCAAGTCTGGGCTTCTTTGAGTGCGTTTCAAAATTTCACAGGCTGTAGCTCTCCACTTTTCTCTTAGCTTGTAAGGAAGGATATAGACAATGATTTTTATATTGAATGGTAAATTCAACTAGATGAGCTCCAGAGACAATTCCCCTGCGAAGACGTTGTCACCTAAATGGCCATCGGCACAAGACCACAAGAATTGGTTCCTTGCCACTGTCACCTTTGGCTTGCTTAGTTGGGGACACTTAATATCTGGCAAGATTGTCGACTTGATTGCACAGATACTATTTGAACTGAACTGAGCTGGACGATGACATCACTGAATCGATGATGAACTGATTGAAAAATTGAGTGTATACTATTGTCCTCTTGCGTTATCGACACACTATTTTCCTGTTTAATACTGTAAAGCTGCTTTGACACAATCTGTATTGTATAAAGCGCTATATAAATAAATGTGACTTGACTAAATAATCAGTATTGAGTAAATAAGTAAATATCTGTTTTTCATCTTGAAATTGACCTGTCTGCACACATACCACTGTCTCTATGTATGCTGAATATTAAAAACAAGTGGTTATTTAGTGTGAATCTGGGTTCTGGTAATGGAAAAACTAGAGCAAATGTGTGAGCTTTTACGGTGTGTGTGTGTGTGTTACTGGTTTACGCCAGGCTCTCATGGTCAACCTAGATTAAGAATATGAGTGCTTGCAGCTGCACCATCAGTCATGCGAACTGCCTTCCTGAAAAGTGCTTTATAACACTTTGTGTGTGTGTGTGTGTGTGTGTGCGTGTGTGCAAATGCATTTTAAAACACACAAAAAAACACCAAAATACAGACTTTATCTAATGCACATACATACTCAAGAAATCACATGTAAATAGGTCATTCTTAAAATCAAGTGCCATTTGTATCCCACATATACAATCCCTGATAGCACACATACATCACAGAGTGTTTGCTCATCTGAAATACGTCTATAGGACGATTCCTATCAGATGTCAAATTGATGTTTAAAATATATATTTTAAGATGTTTATGATTTAGAATGTATGTAAAATTGACATTGACAATTAGCATATTTGATGGACACTTTCATAACGAATAACTCGAAAATAATTTATAGTTTTTTTTAATCTGCTGTCAGACTATGTGAGACGTTCTTGTCATAAAGCGTTGCTATGGGTTGAGTCTTGCTTCCGACTTGACTGACACTGTGAGCCTCATGCTTTCTAAGCTAATATCTTCATTTTTTTTTCTTTGTTTGTTTTTTTGCAATTATTCTGCTTATTGTGCATATAAAATACAAGAAGTTTATATCAGTAGTCCCATATTCATAATTTTAACTACACAGTCTGTTTACAATATCAACCATATGCTTCATCCTTATTTATAGTGATTTTATTATTCTGTCTGTTTGTCATTATCTCTGGAAAGCACTTCTCTGTCTGTTTGAAGAAGTGCTGGGAATGAGGTGTCAGAAGCGAGCAGTCTCTGTGTGCCTTTACACATTTCTGCTCATTTTCAGAAGGAGGAGAAAATAGTCGTGTCTTCCATGTGCTTGAATTGAGGAATGCTATTTGTGTGGCATGAGTGTTTGTTAAAGGACACCACAGTGCTCATGGTGCATGAAAAAATACTATCAAGTCAAGTCACCCTTATTTATATAGCGCTTTATACAGTACAGATTGTGTCAAAGCAGGGTTAAAGTGTTAAACAGGAAAATCTTGTGCTGATAATGCAAGAGGACAAAAGAAAACAGTCAGTTTATCAGTTCAAGTCAGATTATTGTAGATTCAGTCCAGTTCATTTCCAATAGTGTCTGTGCAGTCAAGTCAATTATGTTGCCAGAAACTGTGTCCCCAACTAAGTGTCCCCAAAGGCAAGGAACCAAAACTCCATCGGTGACAGAAATGGAGAAAAAAACCTTGGGAGAAACCAGCGTAAGGTCGGGACAAACCAGCATAGTGTGGTTTAATTCCAGGCTGCAACGCACGTCAGATTGAGCAGAGGACTCGTCTGGTTCTCGTGGTCTTGTGCCATTGGCCGACAAGGTCTTCACAGAGGATCTAGTTGACATGGTCTCTGCTGACAGGGCTGTAGAGGTCGTCTCTAGTACCCCTTTTCCACCAAGGCAGTTTGAGTGCTGGTTCAGAGCCAGAGCCTAGTTTCAAATCAGTTCTTTGTCTTTCGACACCCAAAGCACCAGCTCCGAACCAGGAAAAGTGGTTTGTAAGTAACACCAAAACATTGCTGGTGTAGAAGAAAGAACCACTTGTGTCAGGGGCTGGGGGCGGGGATACCGTGACCAACACGATGAACAGCGGGAGTGATTGGAAAGCAGACGACTCTCTTTTTGCTTTTGGATGGCTTTCGCGCTGCTTTGGTGTCGTGCACCAATCGGTCTGCATGACGCTGACGCATCTCGAACAAGCCTGCTGTGTTTGGCACTGCCACGCTACCGTTATTGGGAAAGATGAGACGTATTCAGTGATGTAAGACCTGGCTCTGTGGTGGCTCTCTAGCCTGTGGAAAGGCAAACAGGTTCTTAGAAGGCTCGCCAGTTGAACCAACTCCGAACCGGCAATAGCACTGGCTCTGAACTAGCACCCGATTCATGCTGGTGGAAAAGGGGTATAGGTGTTGATCCACCATCTGGACTGGATACGGACTGGATCCAGGTGACTGCAGTGATCATCTGATCTGATACTGAACCATACTGCAATACATTCTTCTAAAAATGATCATGGTTCTGAAATTTGGTTCTGCATAGGACAAGATATGCATTTATTTGTGTCATTGTGTGTACTGTACCAAGAGCCCTGTATCTGTTTGGTTCTGTACAGGATCACATCTTCTTATGATGCTTTCACACCTGTAGATCGATTGTTTTGTTCCGAAACAGGGATTAAAATTATTAAAATGTTGCTGTTTATTCTTGGTGCGGTTTGCTTTCAAACAAATATGTATTTGTACCAGATTTGTTAATACAAATCACACGTGAGTAAACTGTTCTCTCATTGGTCAAAGTTCCACAGTTTATTTTCCGGGATTCCACTTAGCGGTCATGCATGTCATCTGTCTCGTTCAGGCGATCTCGGACCGATTGTTTTGGCGCGGATCCGAGTGCAATTGCCGTGTTCACATATGCCCAAACGAACCGAGCTAAGGGGGGAAACGTGCCAGGTTCCGAAACAACAGGTCAGGTGTGAAAGCACCCTTACACTTGTTCAGATGGCACAATGCAGTAAAATAACCCCCAAAAATTTGAAAACTTTTTAAAAATCAAAAAATCACTTCAAACTGAAAAAGGCACCCTTTTTCTTTTACAAGAATACAGACTCTCACATTCCCTCCCTACACACACCTGTATAAATGGCACGCCAGAGCGCTCAATGGCAACCACTCCAACGGTCTGACTGAGCTCCAAGTCTAGGATGAGGATCTCTCTGGGGTATAACAGCAACATGTGATTCCTCTTAGATGGCAGATATGACAGCTGGAGACAGTCATTAAGAGTCACTGCTTCAGCCCTGCACACAAACAAACACACAGTCAGGTCACATTTAAAACATCAATTTATCCTGCCTGTTTCAATGTTTATCTATGGCCCAACCTGCTGTTACGTACATTTATAAATCACAAATCAGACAACTACAGTATGTATCTTTATCCAAAGGTGTTCAATGGTAAATTACTGTCGGGTAATTGGATTGAGTGACAAACTTCCCATAGTTTGTTCACTGATCGCAGGATGCATATTGCTCAAAAAACAACAACATTTCTTAGGTTTTCCGGGAAACAAAATTGTATTTAAAAGGTTGATGAATGCTTGTGAGGAAAAATTAATCATTGAATTTGTAGAACAATAAAACTTCAACCATTCCCACTAATTTATTTATTAAGTGTTTTCTGACCAACCATGTTTATATGTGGCTACCAATGTCCTGCAGAAAAATATAAATATGTTATATTGAGCTTGGTCAAACTTAAGGCGTATATATTCTAATACTGAAACTGAAAAACGAACCCATGTGAAGTCGGACTAAACTTGGGAAAAAATGAAGTTTATTTGGAGTTTAATGCAGTGGTTTGAAACAGCTCGCCAGCACAAACTTTCTAGAAAAATATTGCAGCAGCCGTTTAAGATTAGATTAGATTCAACTTTATTGTCATTGTGCAGAGTACAAGTACAGAGCCAATGAAATGCAGTTAGCACCTAACCAGAAGTGTAAATAGCAATATGTGTGTATAAATAAATATAATATTATGTTTATTTATATACACCAATATTTTTATGGTGTGCAAAGTCTGAGGTACAGAAGCAAAGACCAGCTCGATGCTACGGAATGCCATCTCTGCCATAATTAGAAATAAATAAGTAAATAAAGAAATGTACAAAGAAATGTAAAAAAGCAAATATAAATAAATAAATATATAAATAAATATGCAAAGAAAAGTAAAAAAGCAAAAATGAATAATTAATCATTTTATTTCCTTATTTACTGTATGTATTTGTTTCCACATTTATTTATTTTATTTATACATTTATTTATTACCACTTTTAATTATTTTCACATTTATGCATTTATTTATGTATTTATTTATTTTCACATTTATTTATTTATACATTTCTTTGTCCGTAGGGTAATGAGGAGGGCGTGTTTTACCACAGGAATAGCAATCAAGCCAGAGTAGGCGAGGGGTAAGCTTTGAGGCCACAGTGACACCTTGTGGTGCCCAAACAAAGTACAAGAAGTCTAGCATACATGACGCACCTGTTGTGGGGATGAATGATTTAGATGGGCAATATGGCCAAAATCTTATATCACGGGTTATCAATTTCACGTGGGGGGTTGTTTTCGGCTGGGAAGTGTGCAATCTGTGATAGCGTGCATTTGCTGAAGCTCACGAAAGCGTCCAATCGCTTTCTTATGCGCACTGTTTTTTTAGGTTTCACTTTCAACGCATACAACGCATGTTTCAAAGATTCGGGATAGAAGGAGGCATCAGTTACTGTAGTAGATTTGTCGCCTCGCGCCACTTCCCATGTGGTCACCGCATCAACTGATTATAATGGGTTCTCTTGGTGTAGACACGACTTTAGATACGGATTTAGGCTGAAAATATCCAGAATTATATCAAACAAAAGGCGTCCATGGGAACGGAGCAAGTGAAACACACACACCATGCATTGTAGCTTAAAATTTGTTTAATATTTGCGACTGAAACCAATGATTATATGCAGTGGAGATGCGTTCACGGTCAAATATAATTCAGCATTCATTTTGAATATTGTCAAATATTTTTTCTTGATTACAAGAAGAAAAAAAAACTATTGTTCTTGTTGTGATTTATTTCTTGTTTTTCATTTAATTCACAAGTTAACACTGCAAATTAATTGGTTTCGTTTTTTTCTGCAGTCGAAGAAAATATAGCCTAAATTATGTCAGTGATTTCTCTCATTTTAAAGATTATCAAGAACTATTTTTTTTTCGATCTGCAGTCTAATAAATGTTAAGGAAATTAGCCTATAGGTCTATAGCCTACACAGGCTAATTTCATTCTTTCTATATATATATGTTCTAACCTGTAACTCGGGAAATGTAACAGGGAAAAAAAGCTTAACGTTTTTACTTAAAACCAATTCATTTTTAAGCCCTGATTTTAGACATACATGAGATAATATATTGTTTGACTAAATGTTTAAAAATAACGCTATAAATGTTATAATTAAGGGAATTAAACATAGGCCTATTTGAAAAAACATAATAAAATGTGTCTTCAAGCAATAATTCCAAAAAGAAAGAGAAGCATCGGACTTAATGCAAAACATATTAAAGACACATTGCTGTGACATCTATTATGGTCACCAACATAGCAGGAAAGCTAATGTTTTCTGTTATATTAAGCACAAACTAAGAAAAGTAAAACAAACCTTAAAGTCCGCATGTAAAATTGACTATTTACTTTACTAGCGCACATTGCTAGTCTTGATGAGAACAATTAATCCGTGCATAATTAAAAATTAATCCTATTGTTTGTTTTTGTAATCTTGAATCAAAATCTGAACATTTGCTTCCGCTCTGGAATGGCATTCCTTCTCTGATGACGTCAGTTTGACGGCTTGGGCAGAATATCCTTAAACACACCCCTCTAACCATTAGGTTGCTATGAGTGAGAGACCGAGAGGATAAGCGTAAAAATAAAACCACGCTAGGGCTGCACGATAAATCGAAATGGAATCGAGATCGCGATTCGATAGAAGCTGCGATTGTCATGCGTATCTTTCAGTGAAGCATGGTTCTGTGATCAGTAGTAAATCTCCATCCAAAGGCCAGAGGGCGCTCTTGCGCTGAAACTCCAAATATGCATCGCAGAATAAACCCAGAAAATGCCTATGCTGCAGCTGAATAAACAGAAGATTCAACAGCTTTCATTGATTCAACGTGACTAATAAACACACGACTACGGCAATATACGGTTTATCGGAGTTCTTATTATAATTTTCATTAAAATAAAGTATATTTATAATGCAATGCCTTTATCACTGCTTAATTATTACTATGAAATATGTTGCGTGCCTTATTCTGTGTAAGAAGCTACGTCATCTCACAGAAGGATTTATTTCAAACACTCGACTGACATTATGAAGTGAGTTTGGAGTAAAAATATGTTATTAAATGTGGTGTTTTCACATGCTTTCAGATGGAGCAGCATTTACTTCACAGAGCCGTAGTTCACGGAGAAGCTATGCAAACAGCTGTCATTATCGCGCAATAAAATCGATTTTTTTTGCATATCTTGTCAGTGAACTACGGCTATGTGTAGTAAATTCTGCTCCATCTGAAAGCACGTGATGATGATTTCCTGCTAATTACAGAACCGGCATTACTATCAAAATGTGCATGACAATCGCATTTGATTAATCGTGCAGCCCTAAACCACGCCCTCTATTCAATATTCCGTTTAGCTGGAAATATGTCACTGCACTGAAATAAAGTCAGCAGCAACATCCGGTTCACTTGGACTTTAACGTTTCAATAGCTAAAAATCACCGTGTTGTCCGCAGTGTTGTCGTTGGTGGGGCGGTAGCAGCTGTGGGAGCGCTCTGCGTTTACATTTTTTTGTTTTTGGTTCAGCAGAATTTGTCCAGTCGTGACGCACCAGTCGTTAAGTGTGTAGACTGACTCAGTCATTAGGTGTGCTCTTCTCTGAATGTCAGAGAATCTGCTCCAGTCGATGGTAATGATTTTTTTTGTGTTGAGGTCAGAATAGTCCTGTAGTGTGGTCCCAGCTTAACTGGTAAACCGACAGTAAGAATTTTAACCAATTAGCCTAATTCGGTTAAACCAGGAGTGGTCAACGTTGGTCAAGAGCCACAGTGACTTCAGCTCCATCCCTAATCAAACAAAGCTAATCAAGGTCTAGAACAGGGGTTTTCAACCTGTGGCGCCAGCACCTGTCAAGGAGGGCGCGAGCATCAATTAATTCAGACGTTCCCTTGAGAATTTATGAATATGAGTTAACAAATCTTTAGCCATCCACTAGGGGGCAATCTGACTCCCACTGCTAGTCGACAGTTAGAGCAGAGTTGGCTCGAGTATCAGTCACGCTCAATGTTGCCAAGTCCGCGGTTTTCCCGCGGAATTGGGCTACTTTAACACTTGCCGCGTTTTATAGTTTTAAGATAGTTTTGAGTAGCAATTAGGCAGGTTTTGTTGTGAAAACCTGGCAACCCTGGTCACACTTATTGACAGTGTAAGATGATTTACGATTAGCCGTGTCGGAAATCCAACCACGGATTGGCATGTTATCTCATCTCAGAAACAGGCTCAGCAATCACATTGAATCAGGTAACCTGGTTATATATTTATGTTTCAGTATAATTACACACACTTTACCAGGGGCGGTTCTAAACCCTGCCCCCTCAGCACGTGCCCCCTCAGATTTTTGAGCCAAGTGGATTTTGAATGCAGCTTCCAAAAGGCAAAAAATAGTCGATTAATATTTTCTATATTTAATACAATCACAATGGCGTGATTATAACATTTAGTATGTCATATCATCAGCAGCTAAATTCAAATCTGTGTTCGCTGGCTGGCGCGGAGCCAGATATAGACGTGTTTTTACAGTACTGCGCATTAACCAATCACACACGATGCTGTTGAGCTTATGAATGCAATGACCAATCAGAGGTGTTCAGATGAGTCATTACTAAAATGCCGGTGTTTTCGTCACTTGCTCGCTGACTGAATACCTCTTTCTGGCGAATTCTCTCATCAGAAACAACAAAGTGCAAATGTGTGTTCGAATCGATAAGATATTAATTTCATAGTGTAAACAGCTTCAGTGATTTTAATGGGAGTTTTTAAGAGTGCTTGAACTAGACTGTCAGTGAAAATGTTCTTTGATAATGTAAATGTTCTTTGCTCTCTTTTTGTACAATGAAAGTGTAGTAGCCTAACTTGCAATGTTTTTATTCACATTAACTTTCAATGTTAAATTCACATTAAATACTCAGTCGTATTAA